ACCAACTGCTCTGTCCATTCCAGACAAGATTTACAGCCTTGGAAACCCCGTGTGGTATCACTGTGAGTTGGAATCAATTCAGTGGCAGTGGGTTTGGTTTGGGTTATGAGAAAAGTATTAAATGATCCAGGAAACAGGAAAAGAAGATAGAATGGATACCCAGAATCACGTTCCCAGGATAATTGATTGGCCTTCAACCATGTAAGGTGGTAGCATATGATCAAGAACTGATGGGACGGAAGGAAGAGGTCAAAGCCACACTGAAGGCATTGACAGAGAACAAGGGGCCAGGAGTTGATTAACACCAATTGAAATGTTTCAATAAGCAATTGCTATGCTGGATGTATTCACTTATCCATACCAGTGAACTTGGAAGACAGCTATTTGGCCAACTGACTGGAAGGGATCCATAATTGTACCCATGCCAAAGAAAGATAACCCAACAGAATACACACATTACTCAATAATATAATGAGCATCATGTGTCAGTAAAATTTTGCTGAAGGGAATTAAAAACCAGTTGAAGCAGGAAAGTCTCAGAGATTCAAGTAAGATTCAGAAGAAGATAGAACCAGAGATGGCATCACTGATGTCACATGGATCTTGGCTGAAAGAAGGGCATACCAGAACATGTCTACATGTGTTTCATTCACTACACAAAGTCATTTGACTGTGTGAGTCATAATATGGATAACCTTTAGGAGTATGAAATTCCGGTACATTGAATTGTGCTTGTATGGAAACGGCATGCAAACAGGCAGGCAGTTATTTGAACAGAACAAAGGAATACTACATAGTTCAAAATGAAAATGGTTTGTGCCATGGTTGTATGCTAAACAAATAATCTGGACCACATGCAGAAGAATGTGGCCTCGGGGTTGAAGGTTGTTGGGTGCTGTCGAGTCAGTTCCAACTTACAGTGGCTCTGTGTACATCCGAATGAAAAACCACCCGGTCCTGTGCTAGCCTCGCAATTGTTTTCCTGTTTGAGCCATCAGGGTCGGAGGAAGGCTTACTAACAACCATGAGCAATGTGCAAGTGACAGAGCCTGGTTCTTGTAAGGGAAGAGGATTAGAAGACTTTTGAGTACTGATCAAGATCAGACTAAAGCTTTTAGTATAAATTATACTTTAACACTCACACACACAAAATAAAAAGTTCTAACAGATGGACCAGTACGCAACATCATGATAAATGGAAATGGACTGTCATTGTCAAGAATTTCACTTTAGTTGGATCCACAGTCAAAACTCATCGAGCACCAGTCAAAAAATCCATCAATGCACTGGGAAAATCTGCTACAACAAAACCTTTTAAAAGTGTTATAAAACACTTTAAAGATGTCACCTTGGTGCAGAGTGGAGACCCAAAGCCCATCTGTAAGCAATTAGACATCTCCTTACAGAAGAGTCAGAGGGAGGAGACAAACCAGTCAGGGTGCAGTACAGCACCGTTGAAACATACAACTTTCCTCTAGTTCTTTAAAGCTTCCTCGCCACCACTATCATGACCTCAATTCTGTCTTACAAATCCGGCTAGACTAAAGCATGTACAAGGGTACAGATAAGAGCTGGAAACACAGGGAGTCCAGGACACATAAACCCCTCAGGACCAATATTGAGAGTAGTGATACCAGGAGGGTAAGGGTAAAGTGGGGGGAGAGAGGGGAACTGATCACAATGATCTACACATAACCCACTCCCTGGGGGACAGCCAACAAAAAAGTGGGTGAAAGGAGGCATCAGATGGCGTAAGACATGAAAAATAATAATTTATAATTTATCAAGGGTTCATGAAGGAGGGAGATGGGGGTGGAAATGAGAAGCTGATTCCAGGGGCTCAAGTAGAAAGAAAATGTTTTGAAAATGATGATGGCAACAAATATACAAATGTGTTCCACACAATGGATGGATGTATGGATTGAATGATTTAAATAAAAAAATAAAGATGTCACCTTGTAAACTTAGGTGGTCCTGATCCAAACGAGGATATTTTCAATTGTCTCCTGTGCATGTGAAAGCTAGGCACTGCATAAGGAAGACCAAAGAAGAATTCATGCTTATGAACGATATGGTTGGTGAAGAATATTGACTATACCATGGACTGTCCGAGAATTTTAACAAACCTTGGGATCTTTTCTAAGTCTTGGAAAATCTACAGCCAAAATGCTCCTTAGAAGCAAGGATGGTGAACCTTGTCTCATGTACGTTGAACATATTATGAGGAGGGACCAGTAAATAACTAGAGAAGGGCATCCTGGTTGGTAAAGTAGAGGGTGAGTGAAAAAGAGGAAGACCTTGATGAGATTGATTGGCACAGTGGTTGCATCAATGAGCTCAAACATAGGAATGATTGTAGAAAGGATGCAGGACTAGGTAGTTTTCCATTCTTTTATATATGGGGTTGCTGTGGATTATAACAGGTCGACAGCATCTACAACAATAACTTATATGAGAAGGCATCACAAAGTTCGTGGAAAATGGAATTGATATATAATGGAATTTTTCCATAAACTCTTTGAAGCCCCTTTTATAACACCCCTGCTTAACAGTTTAACACTCTCAAGAAACCGGAGTGTTACACTAATAAGATCTATTCACTATGGATAGGATTAGAGGTATGCAATTGTTTCCTCGAAAGCCTTGCAGTTCAAATGGGTTCCGGGTAATAGTTTGTTGGACATACGGCCCAAACCAGGCCAATTTAATTAGCGTAGATTCTGGCAAAATTCTCAGGTGATCCTTACATTAAAGCTTGAGGTACAGCGCTTTCAGTGGCAGATATTCTTTTTGGAAGAGCACAGTTTGATGATGGCCTGATTTGTGCTAGTAGTAAATCTAAATATTCAAAGATTTCATGGAAAAAATGAAATGAAAATATAAGGAAATTTTCCCACAATTTTGAGGCCCCTGGTCTTGTTACTGAGAGAAGATTGCAAAGGATATTGGCAGGCAGAAGTGAGACAAGATGTGGCAGTGTATCTGAGACTGTCGAGAGAGGAGGAAAATTTCACTGAAGGTAGAAAATTTTACTGCCGCAGAGATCTTCCTCGGGGAGTGAGGCTTCACCTGGATCCGCAGGGCTCCTTCAGCTCTCCAGGATATAAGTCCGCCGACCCGTCAGCTTCTCCATTGGCCTCTGCCTTGGTACCTTTACCCTAAACACCTCTTTTGCTATAAAATAGTTTTCCTTCAGGAAAAGGAAATGTGTCCGGGAGACAGCTAGTTTATTAATTAAGTTTTTATTTTTAAGATAGCTAGTCTTGTAAAGAAGACTGTATTTCTTATTGTTACTTGCCTTATGTAGAACTCCCTTGTGGCAGAGTATAATGGCCTGAGATAGTTTATTGTGCCAGCCTGGCCGATAAACACAAGTGTGATTAACTGAAGGGCGGAGAGATAAATGGCTTGGTGAGCCTCGCCTTTCTTGTCTCTCGCTCTTTGATCATCAGACCAGTATGCGACTGCCTTGCTTGTTCTGTGCCTCAATTTAAAGGCTACACTACCTGTGGGACGCCTAGCCTGTGAACTGTGTCGCTGTCAGTTAAGGTCCCTTTAAGACATCTCTGGAGCTGGGGACTGGTGGTTGGTGACCTGCCTTGTGATTGGCTGCTGTGCTGAGATAGCCTAGCTCTCTCTCTATATAGAGGAAGACCTGGCAGCAGACTAGACTTGACGGACTGCTCGTGTCTCACAACTCTCTGTCACGGGAGTGAGTTGCACTGAGCCATTTGTATTGCTTTATAATATAACTGTTCATTTCTTGTATTATATATCTATCTGTATATAATTTAACAGTTCATTTCTTGTGCTTTATAGCTAATTATCTTTATAAATAAATATATTAGATTATCGGCAATTTGGTTTTATCTCTCTAGAGAACCCTGTCTAACACATGGCCTTATAGGGTTTTCTAGGTTGTGTTCTTCATAGATCCAGGTCACCAGGTCCCTCTGCTGTGGAGCTGCAGGCTGTTTGCGCCACCCACTTTCAGTCTGCAACTAGCCGCAGAAACTCTGTGCCACTGAACTTTTTTGTACTTCTCATTATACCCACTCCTCCATTATTGACATAGTGAAAAGTTCATCTTTTTGTGAAAATGGAAGATGACTGCATCATATATAACCCCCAACTCACTAAGATTTGTGGGCCGATCACAGCCAGCATTACTCTTATCCAGCACCTAATTCATTACTGCTAAATGTATACCATTAATTCGCAAAATAGATGAATAGTGGAATTTTTACTGCTGTTTTAAATGCGAAATGTCACCTAATGAGTGAGGAGTGGTGTAGTATATAATAGATTGCCTTCTCATAATGCATGAGTCATGAACTGTAGTCGTCAGTCTGTGGATTTATTTCCTATTGCAAGTTAATTACACCAGCATCTTCGTGTGTTTGTGAATCTAGGATGCATTTATTTCATTGGCAAATGTCCATCTAAGAGAGACTGACCAACTTTAAGGGGCACTTAAAGTTTTTTAGTGAGTGACTGAATGAAGGAAGGAACTATTCCTATATACAGGTGAACAAAGTGCAGAATATGGCCTAGAATTTCATCCATTGGAGATTACTACATACATGAAGACTAGAATAGCTACCTAGGGTTTTTTTCTTTAGTAGATTGCTACTTCAGAAGATTCTGATGATAAAATTACCAATAACATTGTAGAAGATTAAATCCACCTAGAAGTGCCATTCACTAGCAGGCCTTATCTGCTGGCCAGAGACCTCCTATAAGAAATGTAAGTATCTTGAAAGTTACATTAGTTGTATGATTGACTAGAAACTATTTTTTAATTTTAAAAAGTACAGAAACTATCTTGAGTGTGTTATTTAAGACAACGTGGCTTATTTGGCATTTGGGATTTATAGAATATTTCTCAATTATGTTTTCTTTCTGATTTACTATCCATTTCTGAAGAAATTCAGGGACATTGGGTTTCATGTGTCTGTAATACTACAGAAGTGAATATAACTCAATCTTTTTCATTATAGAATGAGATCTTTTTTTCTAACACTCTACATGGTATCCTTAAAGAAGATCATGCCCTGATATCTAGAGTTGTGTCCAGGAAGGTGGAAAATTTCACAGTAACTAGTGAAATAAATGAACTCTTTGACGTATTTACTTACAGCAAGGTAGGTAAACCCAATGATATATTTCTTTTCGTTCTGCATTCTTCTAGAAAATTGCATGAAATGGGTTATGCTGGTGTGTGCCCTACTAATTCATAGCAAACCTACAGGACAGAGTAGAACTTAAGAAGATCTCTAGATCTTTTATCTCATGGACTGCTGGTGGGTTTCAACTTCCAATCTTTGGTTAGTGGCAGAGCATTCAGCTATTGTGCTACCATGACTCCTTAAATTGGCTAAGGATCCACCAATTTATATGCTACTGTACAAATTTTAATCCAAATACTTTTAATTGTGTTTAGTAGATGTTTCAGATAATGTAGTTAAATCAATTCTAGTAGTAAATATTTATTTGGAGTTCAGTACAATCTACAGTTATAAATAAATTCAGACAACTTGTTACTTTTAAGATGAAAGCTTTTGTTCAGTAGAAACTTATTTTCCATTTAAATATCTCAATTAAAATGTGCTTTATTCATTTTTTTTACCTCTTGATTGGTGGTAGTGTGTTATTTTATTAGCACATTTGGAATAAACTAAACTAGAGTGAAAAAAATGCAGTCAGGAGCACAAATGGAATGTAAAGCATGCAGATCTTGACTTTCATTCAAATCATGGACAACAGTTTCTTATGTTCTAGGGAGCATGCGTGGTGCGGATGCTTTCCAGTGTCCTGCGGGAGAAGCTGTTTATTGGCGCACTCAAGGTGAGTTGATACAACTGTTTTTACCTGGTTGTCAGGAAACATAAATGGCTTTGAAATGTTATTTTTTTAACCTTAACTTTTTTATTTTTAGTCATATTTGGAGACATTTTCTTACTCAAATGCTGAACAGGATGATCTCTGGAGGCATTTTCAAATGGTAATGATCTTGGTTTTCTGACATGTATTTGCTGAGGGATTGTGTATGATGCAGTACAGCGGAATCCGGAGATGTGCTTACGCAGCAATGCTACAGGAAACAATTGTGCCTTGTTTGATATATTCCCTTATGGCAGGGGTTGTATCTTTTGTTGTCACTGCTATATTCCCAGTATAGAACTCAGCATATAGTTGGTCCATAAATTTATATTGAGTAAGTGGAGGAAAGAAGGAACTAATTCTATATAGATATGAACAAGGTGCTGAATTGGGCCCAGAATTTCATTGATTGGGGATTACTGTATAAATAAAGTCTAGAATAGTTAGAGAAAGATGTGTGAAGTAGATTGCTACTTCAGACGATTTTGATGATCAAGTGATCTGCTTTTGTGATTTTTTTTAAACAGGCCGTAGATGACCAGAATACAAATCTTTTGCCTGCAACAGTAAAAAGCATAATGGACCGTTGGACACAAAAGAGTGGTTTTCCAGTTATCTCCTTAAATGTATCCAGTGGCATCATGACACAGGAGCCATTTTATCTTGGGAAAATTAAAACTCAGACTCTTCTAAGCCACAAGTAGGTTTACTTGCACCTCTTTGTATTTACCTTCCTTGCAGTTGAGCTCAGATCAAATGGAACCTGAAAGTGAAGAAGCATTACCTGTGCTAGATATAAATTTTTCTATCAAGTGACTAGAAAAGGCGACTCCATTTAAGATTTTCATCTTAAATGGAATGCTACCTATGGACCACAGCCCCGATAGATTCAAAGCAGTGCTCTTTCCTGGAATTAAGGGCCACATCATGATAAGACAGGTGGTTTATATTCCTCTTTGTCTTTCAAATAGAGATAATAAATTACTCAAGATTCTGGATCAGAGGTAAAACATAGAGCCGCAGGTTGCAAAACGAGTTACCGAAATAAGGGACCCTATTGCAAGATAATCTTCTCTTCACTAGAAATAGAATTGAATGGAGACTATGTCCATGAAGAATAGATAGGTGTGTGTGTGTGTGTGTGTGTGTGTGTGTGTGTGTGTGTGTGTGTGGCGTGTTTACAGCTAAACCTACAGTTTTAGAATTATGGCTGTTGATTCAGTTAGACATGGGTTTAAACATTGATTTGACCAAACTCAAAACAGTTTTATTTAAACTCACTAGGTACCTGTAAGGTGAATGAGTATAAAAGAGCCCTTCATTAGTTCCTTTCCCCTACCTTTCCTTTTCTTAAATTGCTAGATAATTTTCAACGATTTCATTAGTTTTGATCTTCACATATCCTTGCAGAAAGTAGCATTCAATGGAACAATTCATGTTCAAAAACCACCACTAAAACTTTCCAGGAGGTCTGCTTTTTCTTTAAAATGCCATAGGCGGAGACCCAAAGATCCCTTCTAATAACGTTCTGTGATTTTTGAGGTGTGCATCTTAGCTGTGCAGATAAACAGACCCGCAGTTCCAAATCCTTGAGAAACTAGGCTTGTAAGTATTTCAGGGATATTGGAAATACTTTCCAAACCCCAAGTAGTTAGTCTGTTCAGACGACTAATGATCTCCCTGTGGTCAGCAACTTTATCCAGATCACGTCCATGAGTGTAGAAGAATGTAACTATTCAATCAATATGAGTGTCCTGGCTGATTCCTGTTCAGCGCTTTTCAGATGGAGAAAAAGGTTGAGGTTTGAAAGTATTTTGAAATGTTTGTCAGACTTTTTCTTCTTAAATCACTTTTTACTTCTTTGGGCACGCTGGGATTTGGGTCTGTCTACAGCAAGGGAACTATCTCACTCTCATTGCCATCGAGTCTGCGTTGACTCATGTGACCTCTGTTCTGAGATGGTAACCCCGGGAGTGAAAGCCTCTTTTTCCTCCTGCACAGTAGCTGGTGGTTTCAAATGACTCTGCCAGGGCTCTAGTTAAACTATAGGTGGCTATAACTTAATATAAACTACCCTTGACCATTTTCAATACACTACAGTTATCTATACAGTAATTATATCTTTGTAATTAGTAGTTACCTAAATTATAAGTAGTAAATCTCTCCAGCATAGGAGAGAAGACTAAAGAAATAACTTTCATAAGACCACAGTAAATAATCCTCAGAGTAAAGGCCTGCATGTCAGAGGAAAGAACCGAACAACCGGAGTTGTCTGCTATTTTGTCATTTCATTTAAAGTTGATTCAGAATCTATGTTCTTATGTGTGAACAGTAACTGAGATTTTATTTTCTTTCAACAGTGACACTTGGATTGTCCCTATTCTTTGGATAAAAAATGGAACTACACAACCTTTAGTCTGGCTAGATAAAAGCAGAAGTAAGGAAAAAACCCTTTTTAAAATTATATATTTCATATATATTACTATTACATATCTAAGTAGAAAATGAAGTGTATAAAAACAGAGGAATAAATGTTGAAATGGCCAGGTTTTGAAAAGCTATCTAATTTAAAACCCAAATATTACATCATTCTTGTTGAACATATAGCTTTAAAGAAAGTTCAAACTCAGTAGCCATTATGTGTGAAAGTATATTCTCATATGGTAAGATTGACATATTGTATACTCCCTTTGCTTATTTTTAGGTCTTTGTTTTGGTGCATTTAGAATTAAGAATGTGTAGTATAAATATATATTACAATTTATCTTAAGCCATAATTTCAAGCTATTCACATATTCCTTTGCAGAAGTGTTCCCAGAAATGCTAGTTTCAGATTCTGACCATGACTGGGTGGTTTTAAACTTGAACATGACTGGATATTATAGAGTTACTTATGATGAATTAGGCTGGAAGAAAATAAATCAACAACTTGAAATAGATCATAAGGTAAGGTTTTTTATTTTGATACTTTTATTAAATATCATTAACAATGTTCTCTCTAGCCTCTTAGAGGTTGAACTTTCATAAATCTGTCAGGTGGGAAGAGATCCTTCCCTCTAAGCACCACTCTCCTCTGCATGCAAAATGGAAAGAAATTTCTTTATTTAGGTAGAGGGCAAATTTTGGTTGATTGTATAATGTTTTCTAATATTGATTTGTCATCTTTTTTTTTTTTCTTCAAAAGCATTACCTTGCTAAGTGGCAATCAACAAAGAATTTGCTGTGAATTTTTTCTGTGAATATAAAGCTAATGAAGCTTTATAGTCTTAGGCAATTTATTTAATAAACATTCTTGTTCCATTTCACCACTTTAGGATGGGAAAAATATCATATTTTATTTGTCATGATGATTAGAGTTGATGCAGTATTTTAAATTATATTCTGTTGGCTAAACTAATGTAACTACCAATAGAATTACCTTATGTCCCTTGGGGATGATTTATAATGTTCTCCAATAAACTGATAATGATTTCTCTAAAGTGAATCAAGGACATGTATAAACCATTGATATATAAATGAAGTTTAGGTTCACACTTAATTGTAGCTTTAATCTAAGAACAATTCGTTCTTCTGACATGGCTCTATTCAATATTCGCTGTCAAGGAGAGATCACTGAAGATATGGGTGCTATAGCACAAACTGTGGTGGAGAAATCAGAGGGTGTTCTGTTATCAGAAAGCAGAGAGTATGGAGTCTTGAAGACTTGCCTTAAAATAAGTAGCTATCTAAGTGAGGCATAAATAAATCCACGCAGCAGAAGCATACCAGCTTGTATGATCGAAGGATTTATAGATAATAAAATCCAAATCTGGAGGAGGGAACAGTATCAGAGCTTAAATTCTGAACACTCCATTTATAGAAAACTATATGGATGACAATAGACCCAAAAATCCATTTGCAAGATCCCCACATGGATTAAGCCTCCATTAAATTTCCTCTGACTATAGCCCAGGGATATGACTAACCTTGCTATCAGACAGAGATTAAATCAATTATGGCAGAGGCAAGTTAGGTTAAAACATAAAAAGCAAACGCACCACCATCCAGTGGACTCCAACTCACAAAGCTCCTATAGAGGGTTTGAAGACTGTAAATCTTTACAGACACAACGTCTTATCTTTTTCTGGAGTGGCTGGTGGACTTGAACTGTTGACCAACCATCTAAACCGTATGCCCCGTCCCCCCAGATCCTTAATGTCACTTTACATGATTCAATTATTATAAATGATTATGAGATGTATAAGCATTAAAACATTGGCTGGCTTTAATGGATCTGATTTTCACTGGTTGAACTTAATCAAGTCTCCTTTGGAGCCACTGGATGCTGACTGAGGAGTCTCTATCGGGCTGACTCTGTGGCTACTTGCCATTGACCCTTAGACACTTGGACTCCATTTGTAAAAGTGGAACATGGAAGTAAATGATATTGCAGGTGTCTCTTGTTTTAAAATTCCCTGAGACATGCAGCAGTCTCTCTATCTGAGAAAGCAGTACTGTATATTAGCGGTGAGCTTGAATTATGGGTCAAACTCAGGTTCATGGTTTTGTTCATCACTTATCAATTGTGTGATATTGAGCCTATTTTTGACCAGCTGTGCTTCCATTTGCTACTCTATATAATGTCAATAACCAACCTTAAAGGGTTATTGTGAAGATTTAATAATGTTGAATTGAAGCCTGACACACTACAGACACATTTATAATGATATTTTATTTTCAAATCTTTTTCAGAGTGGGATAAGATTTATTATTTCTTAAGGGCAGTCTAAACTATGGAGTCACAAAGTCCTGACCATAAGTTGATTGCTCAGGACTGTAGATTTACTTACTGAAAAAATGGGGTAAATTATTTCTACAGCATGCTCTGTTGAACACGTAAAATAGAATTTTTATTATTTATCTTATTCTAGAAAACATGTTATTACTGCTAGGAAAAAAGAAAATGAGACTATTATTAAGGGAAGAAAGAAGCCTGGCGGCTCAGATGCTCGGAAATGTGTAGTGAAGATAAATGTTCTGCCATCAAATATGGGAGCTCTGGGGTGTGTTGAAGGAAGAGCTAAGAGGCTTTGGGTGCCCCCAGGGGACTGAACCTAAAATCAAAATGTTTTGTGGGCTGGAAATGCCAAGGAGGTCAAACAGAAGCCTAAAGAAGTAGATGGGCAAATAGCTCCAGTGTTTTGGTGGAAATAAAGGACTCTCTTGACAGTATTGTACCAAACTGGTAAAACCTTATGAAGACAGTTACCATCCAAACATTGTATCAGTGTTACCAAATTAGTGTTAAATAATATGTACTTAAAATCGACTGAAAGGAATTCTGGTAGAACACTAGTTAATTGCTAACAGAGGAGTTGGTGGGAGAAAGGCAGGGGAGTCTGATTCCACGAAGATTACAACTTGGGAAAACTACTGGGCAGTTCTGTGAGTTGGAATAGCAGTCGACTTCTAAAGTCCTCAAGCAGCATAAGCAGTTTGAAATTGTCTGCTTAACCTAAGGCTGCAAGCTTGAACCCATCTAGTGTGGCCCTGATGGCTTCGTGGTTACTCGTAGGGCTGCTACCAGTAAGGTTAGTAGTTCAAAACAGCAACTCCATGGCAGTAAGTTTGGCTCCTGCTCGAGTGGTACTTATGGAGAGGCCCAGCGAGCTGTTTCTGTAAGACTCCAGCCAAGAAAGCACTGGGGAGCTGTTCCACGCTAGCACATGCTGTGAACTGAAGTAAACTCAACAGCGGCAGGTTTGCTGTGCAGGATTATGCCAAAAATTCTGCTGAGGAGAGTTTGAATATTGTGATACAATTTAATGTAATTGTTTTGATTTAAAGTGTACTTTTAGAACTTGATTTTTCATGTTGGGAAAGACTTAGCAAAATTGTTTGCCATATTTAAGTCTTATGAATTGATGTCCAGGGGAATCATTTATCAAAACCAGATGTATAATAAATAAATGATGGAGACTCTTTTTGGTAATTATCATTTCTCTGCAGTTGAGATAACTCACAAGAAAATATTTCCTAAATAACAAAGATCTTTTAATATTTTTATTATTTTAAAATTATATTTTTATTGAACAATGTCTCATCTTTTCCTGAACCTATTTGGATTGAATTCTGCAGGCTATTCCTATTATTCACAGGCTGCAGTTAATGGACGATGCCTTTGCTTTGTCTAAGTGAGTATATTTTCTTCTCTGATTGTTTTTTAAAGTCTAGCTTCAGGATGTTATAGAAATTATAGCTTCATCACTATAAACTTGATTCTTTAGTGTATATGTAAGTCCTAACTTACCAAGATGAGGTCCAAATTTTATGGTTAGACCTGCATTTGGTAACAAAAAGAGTTGCTGGAAATAAAAAGGCTATCAATTAAAGATTTAAAAGTGATTTGTGATACCCAGAGGTGATGGCTATGGGTAGAGTTTTAATGATATCTGATGTGTGAATTTTAATATCTTGTCAAATTAATTAGTTTTGTTTATGCTAGATCCATTTGATATAGGCTATGCTACCAAACATTTAGCCTTATAAATGAGTCTTTTCAGAGTTGAAATACTCCAACAGCAAAAATTATGTAAGCATATGTAATGAATTACAAATTATATATGCGTTGCATATGCATATGCCAGTATGTTCTCTCTTTCTTTGGCTTATCATTGTTCTTAAATATCTGCTTGCTTTATCCTTCATATTTTCACTACTGATTCCCTCTGTGACCGGCCGCACTTACTCATGGTATTAGTCTAGGTACTTTAGAGAAACAAATCCACAGCAACTCATGTTGAAGAGAGTTTTATGTAAAGAAAGTGTGCATCACGAAAACATCCCAACCCAATGCTGCCCAAGCCCACAAGTTCAACATTAACCCATTTACCCAACACCAGTCCACAAAGTCCTCCACCTCACAAAACAGAGGCAATGACGCCTACTGCAGGAGGAAAGCTGAGTCAGTGAATGACTAAGCATCTCAGCACTAGCAGGGGTCTCCACCCGGCTGCTTCAGCACCCAGGGCTGCATCGGGATAGGTCCATGTGGCTTCTCCTTGGGGATGTCTTGTAGGAAGTCAATCTTGCAAGCTGAAGCAGGGAACTGCTAAGGCAGCTGCACCCTGGTGTGACCATCACAAAGCAAGAGACCCGAGAACTAGAAAGGCGAGGCTCACCACCCATTTATCCCTCCGCCTTTCAATTAGCTCCACATGTGATTATTGGCCAGGTTGGCACAATTAACTAACTCACTCATCTACTACTTTGCTGAGTTCCTCTCTAGGCTTTCCAAGACTTTTGACACCGTGGATTGCATCCTCCTAAAAACTTCTGTTTGGGTTTCCTGAAACTCAAATAGCTTGCTGTTTCTCTTGCTTCTCTTCCTGTCTCTGATTCCTCTCTTCCAGCTTCTGTGAGCATCCTGAAGATCAGCCAGGTTTATTTGTCTCTCACTTTTTCCGGTGAATATTTCGGTCATTCTTATGGCATCACTGGCCACTTTAGTATGTGCGTGTGCAGTGCCCCGCAGACAAAAGTAATTCAGGAAGTATTTCTAGAAGGATATGTTGATGTTTTCAAAATCTATATCTCTACATGTCACTTCCTGACCAGTTTTTCCTGTGGTCTTATCTTGAACGTTTGTCTATTTCTAAATTGCCCCTGCTATCAATATCACTCTCTGTCAAAGGCATCATTATTTTCCCAACAATACAACTTGGAACTTCAGCGGTGTACTTGTCTCCTCTCGCTTTCTCCCTCTCATGCTCAACCAGTCACTGTGTCTGACCCGCCCATTCTTGGTAGTGATTTTGGATTTTCATCACAGTTCATAGCCCCACTGCGTCACACATCAACCCAAGCTGGCCTATCGCATAATCTACCAGTCTTTATTTCTTTTGAATTTTTGTATAAATATATATTTATTCATTTAAAATTTTATTGTGAATTGGATGAAGGTTTATAGAGCAGGTTGTCAGTTTTACCTTCAACAATTCATACATTTTCTTCAACTCCTTCATCCCCGCCCCCCACCCCCTTCAATACAACTCCATTCATCCCACTTCCCCTCTGTACTGACTACCTCCTCCTTCTCGCCTAACCCTTCTGAACTGTGTCCTCGGGAAAATGCTTCCCTCCTGGTCTCTAGTGGTGGATTACTTTAAGTTGTTATCTACCTCATTAGTGTGCTGCTCCCCTTATTTACCCGCCTATTGTTTGGCTGCATTTTGAATGACAGAGGTGAGTTCAGTTCCAGATCGGAAGGGTGACTAAAGGCCACGGTCTCAGGGGTTCAATCAGTCTCTATCCAACTAGTGAACCTGGCCTTTTTAACGTTTTGAGTTTTGTCCCACATTTTTCTCCAGGGCATACACTGTTTCCCCTTTCAGAGTAGTGGGTTGTGGTAGCTGGGCACCATCTAATTCTTTTGGTTTCAGGGTCTTGGAAACTGACATCCGACTGGTCCATTGGACAAATTGTTTCCATGTGTCAATTTTCATCAGCCTTCTGTCCTCAAAATCGAGAGAGACTAATAATTGTAGTGCTTTGGGATTTATGTAAATACCCAGAGCACACTCCACTAAACTTAAACCATTTAACCTAATATTTAAGGCTCTCCACAGTTTTGACCCACCTTATTTGCTAGCCTTCACCTCTCGCTTATACGAAAAATAAGACCCTTATCTTATTTACCTGGTCTGTACATGGTCTGTCCATCACACTCATTCCCACTTCATTATTTTTTTTCCTGTCTACCTATTCTTTCTCCCTGAATATTTCAGTCCTGCCTATCCTTTGCTGCTCTTCTCAAATTCCTTTTCACTGAGGCTGTCTAAAACTCCCTCATCACATAAGAGTATTTCCCTTTTTTGCTACTTTGTAGTGTTCTTTGCCTTTTCTGGGTTGTTGACTAATAGATTCTTATGCATAAGTCTCATTGAAATAATAAGTTTCTCAATGGTAGGCAAGACTAGGGTCATAAATCTTAGTTTGTAGCTAGCAGAGCATTAGAAGAAAAAGACTTTTAATTAACACTGGTTAGTGAAAATTATATTATCATAAAGATGCATAATCAATATACACGTGTTCAAATTTGCAATAATTGGTTCAACATTTGTCTTGGATTTTCTATAGACTCCAATAATGTGGTTATTTCAATATACCACACTGAAATACAAAGCCTGTCAACATTGGCTTCCAGCTTTCCAATAAGATGGGAATTTTACCCTCTATCTCCCTGCTTGATTTATATACTTTGATTAAAATTAGACATTGAAGAATGGAATAAATTTGAAGCGTGTGCAAATAATTTAGCTAGTGGAGATTTTTTGAGTGTGTGTATTTATACCAAACAGAAGCGATTATATTGAGGTTGAAACAGCACTTGATTTAACCAAGTACCTCGCAGAAGAAGATGAAATCATAGTATGGCATGTAGTCTTAACAAGCCTGGTAACCATGGAGCTGGAAAACTATGATCTATACCCATTTTTAAAGGTAATTCCATTCTGCTATGTGATTTTAAAAAACCTGTCTTCTTTCCACATTCTAGCCGGCACCTGTTAAGACTCCATTGAAGTCATATGTTCGTCTTCAATATTGAGTTCATAGTTTCATCACAGGCTGTAGGAGCTGAGTAGGTGAGAAGGTTAGAGGAGGGTACTTCTTTACATGTGAAATGTCAGTGAGCCTTGTGAAGCCAGAAGTGGATGGAAATGATATGCCTTTGTTTTCAGAAAAGGACAGTGTCTGTTAACACTTGTTTCCTCAAGAGGTTGTTTGATAAACAGAACACTGCTTAATAACCTTGTGTTCATAATCAAAATATTTTGATGAAGAGGAATGGCACTTAAAACCAGAGAGGTAGGTTCCAGGAAAGCAGCAGTTTTAAAACTGCAACATTGTTCTAATTTCATCAGCATGAAATTAGAATTAGTGAATGAAGAAATTATATACTGCTATAACTGAAAACAGGTATAAAAGAAAGGAAGTACCACTTTTCGGTTTTAAATAGTAAGCATGAGAAAGGTAAAATCAAAGAAGAACTAGGAAGCAAGCCCTTGGGACTGTTAGAGGTCACTGACCCACCTGCCTGTCTATGAGGTACGATTCCAGGTGAGTGTCAAAGTCAGGCGGAAGGTGAAGGGACAAATGCTTTAGAGCTCGAGAGTGTTCTTTCCTCACGTCCAGGGGGTGAACCAAATTTAGTTGAGTGTGGGATGGCCACAAATAAAAGGTGACATTAAATCGTTTTGGAATTGAGGCGGTTCACTGAGACTATCTTATGGCTGGTTCTGAATCTCTAGTGGCACAATACTTTAAGCACAGGGCTGCTAATTGCAAAGTTGGAAGTTCAAACCCACTGGCGGCTCAATGGGAAAAAGATGAGGCAGTCTGAGGCAGCCTCAGAAACCCTGCAGAGAATCCTGATGTGTCCCTGGTGGTAGCTCTGTACTGGCGTCGACTGGACTGGACTAGTTTGGGGATGTGGCTAAAGATGTAAGAAATAATAGTGCTTTTAAAAGGAATTTCAATAAATAGCATTAGTGTGCTCTCTAAGAGATGTATCGGTAAAGGTATAACTTTTATGAGCTTATTATTTATCAGGTGGTAGCTAAATTAAAGAACATTTTTTCAGACTTATAATTTTATCCAGTAGGCTTCAAAGTGAGTGCTTGAATTCAAGTTATAAATCAGTTATTTTTTTTTGCAGGTATATGAATGTAGCATGAAATGTCTAAATTAGATAGCTTAATATTTTTATTCTCTCCTTTTATTTTGAAAACTTTTGAAATGTTGGGGTGATATTAAATGATAATACAGATATGATGAGATTCCATTCTCGTGACTTCCTAAGTCAATTCTGATGTAAGTTAAATGCTTCATTTTAAAATTAATTTTCATTATTATTGCACTTATTTATTTACAAGTCCGACGTTTATTTGTGTTTGATGGTTGGCATGGGAATGATAGCATTGGCAAATTACATACTGTAACATTGTATATATTACTAACAATAGATGCGCACACACACAAAGAACAAGCAAGCAATGCTTTGTCATGACTCAAATACATTAATAGTTGGGGACTACCTGTAATTGCTAATATTTATGAAGGTCTTACTATGTTACAGGCTGGGTGTTAAGAGGCTTACATACTTACCTCGCTTAACTCTCACAATCATCCAATAATATTGGTATTATTTTAAACCTTGTTTTACTTGAGAGAACTAAATCTAGAGAGATTCAAAAAGAAACCACACACATTTAGTAATAAATAAAGATGGCTTCTACATAAACAACTGCCACTTTTCATTATTGTCCTTTCAGATAAAGGGAAAATTCAGTGTTGTGAGCCAGAAGTAACAGTATTCTTTCTTTATTGTTTATAGAAATATCTATTAAAGAGACTTCACTTAATATGGACTACTTATGCAACGATTACTCTTGAAAACCCGGCAGCCTTGCAAGATGACTATTTAGCAATGTAAGTATTTTTCAAGTAGTAACAACTGAATAGAATGATTCACATTAATAGATAGCTTTTCAAATTCACAAAATAGAATCTTAATACTTATGATCCGTTGAGGTATTTGGTATGCCATTTGAGAGCAGTAGCTCTGGGATTGGTAGGCTACATTTATCCTAACAGGGAATGATAGTTTAGGATCATAGTTTACCTGCAAAGACACATGTGCATACACAAATAGGTTTATACTTCTATTTTTCAACTTGGGCGACTGATGGAGTGCTAAGTGTCTTCTGCTAATGGTGAAAGGAATGTGCTTGGCAACTCAACACCTCATGGCCGTCGAGTCAACTCTAACTCATACCAACCAGCAGCCCTTGAAGACAGAGGAGAACTGCGTCTGTGGGCTTCCCAGGCTGTAAATCTTCCAGGGGATAGAAAGACTCAGCTTTCTCCTATAGAGCAGCTAGTGGTTCTGAACGGCTAACCGGTGGTTAGCAGTCCAAACCATAACCCACGATGTCAGGGTTCCTCGTGCTTAACCAAGTCAGCATATAACAATGAATCGGATGTCCAGGAAGACCACAGGGGACAGACGTCCATGTGACATATAATTGATAATACAAGTTTTATCCTTATGCAAATAAGATGAGGAAGGTTGGCAGTGAATCATACCAGCTATATTTTAGTGAATATGAGTCAGGTTTGCAGATGGTTCTCAGATAACTTGTTTGATGGAGGGTGTTAGCACACTTTCCTGATGCTCGGGAAGTAAGGTAATGTCCAAGAGGACCTGGTGGTAGTGCTGGCATCTCTTTTCCCCGAGCTACCTGTTGTAGGTCCTCTTTCTAGGTATAGCAGGGAGCTTGGAGGCAACAACAGTCTAAGACTTACATCTACAAATTCTTTCTGGTCAAAACAAAACTTGAGTCAAATAAACCAAACAAGAAATGCAAATACACAAAATGTGATTGTTCTCTTTCAAGAATATGCTTCTAAGAGGGTAGATATTTTAGTGCTAGGGCATAAGACTTTTTTCTTTTTTTCAGTGCCTAGGAGGAAACAGAGTTAAGTGAACAAACAGGTGGAAGACCCAAGGATTAGCTAGAATAACGAGAGGGGAGGCGAGTTATATCAATGATTAGAAAGGGAAAATGTGCCCCAAATTATATAATTTGTATTTTAACCAGCCATTTCCTAGACCTTAGTTAATTGGATCCAAGTGGCTTCCTTTTGGTTTGTAGCATCATGGGACCAGTCCTCCTCTGGAGCAAAATTGGGGAATTAGTCCACAGCAATTCATCTTGTTGCAGCCAGCTTGAGGTTGGGAGGAGTGAGGAAAGTGGATTTGTAAGTGAATGCCCAGAAGCATAAGAGGCTCCCTAT